CAGCTTCACTCTTATTAAAAGTACCGTTTCTTCCCACGGCTCCCTCCCCGCAAGGTCAAGCCAGCGCCCCAGCTGAGCCTCCTCCAACCCAATCGGTGTAGGCAGGCGGGATCTGGCCGAAGTGGAGCCTGCGTGGGGCCCCTGCCTGTCTGGAAGCCACCGTGGGCTCCTTCTGATTCAATTCCGCGCTGCCTGACCCCGGCCGGCCAGCCGGAGCAGCAGCACTTCTCTTCACAACTCGCACCAATTATGGGATGGCTTCCCATTCGGAGAGGCGAGCACGCTTTCCAACGGGGCGCAGCAGTTCGCCGGCAAGAGGCAGCGCAGGCAGCCCTCACTTGCAACAGAGAAGCGGCTGCATTTAGATGGGGCTCTTCCTCAGAGCCAGTGAGGTGTTTCCCCTTGTCATTACGTCACTTCCGGGTGATGTGCGTGCGGCGTACGTGCGCTTTGCGCGCACACGCACACACTCCAGCCCCTCCACTTTCCCCAGGGGGGCCCCCACTAGAAAGGTCCTAGCTACGGGCCTGGGTGGGGGGGTGTCTGCCTGTTGTAGATGACCACTCAGTCATGTGATCCCTCACAGGCAGATTAAAGTGGCACCTGCATTTGTGAGTAATAAGCCATAGGAGTGCTTTTAAAAAAAGATAAGTTTCTCAGATTAAAGTAGTGCAGTCCAATGCAAAAGGTTAACAGAAAATACTGACATTTATGCTTAGCAAGTCAAGACTGAGACAACATAGGCAGAGTTATTCAAATTGGGGCAATTCTATCAAAGGAAACAGGAAGCCCTAGTTGAGGTTTGCTCTTATGTACAGGGTGGAAGGACTAGTAGACCAACATATAGGCCCATCCAGAAAACAAGGCTTCACTATGAAAATGAAAAAGGAAGGCCATCAGTACACAGTGAGTTACAACCCACTAACAGGCAAGCATCATGGTGCAAGTTACTGCAATAGCCTTTCTTCTGCACGTCTTGGAAGGAGGCCTCACTGTATGAATACATAACAATGTTTGGTTTTGTTTTTAATGGCTCGGAAGAACGTTTGAATAATGAAGTGGAAAATTTGTGCTGATGGGCTAAAATGTACAGAGGATGAGGAAGGACTGTGAGAAAGCACAGGAAGACCCTAAAGAAATTAGGGAAGCAGTCATAATAATGACAGGTGAAATTCAACCTAAATGAGAGCTTAAGATGCTGTACAATGAATTGAGACAGAAAGCTTCGGAGGTAAACTGCATGCTGAGTTCACAGTCTAATACGTTCCAAGTCAAGCGTCCGCAGGCTCTCAAGCAAAGCTATCCGGATGTTATTGTGCACAGCTCAATGAAACCATCTGTTCACTGCACAGCAAAAAAAAAGAGGAAGGAAGGATGTGTTTGGGGACAGTACAGAAAATATGATGGCAGTAAATCAATAGTTTATATCTCTGACTTGCATACGGCCTATGCTATCTCTTGCATTCTCTCTGCTAAGATAAAGAACTACAACTAACTACTTCTCTCAGTAGTTCTTGCAATCCTTTTGCACAGTTGCAGTCCACCATCCAGATTTTAAAACTGGACTCTTACTCTTCTCTACTGCTACAGACTAACACGGCTACCCATCTTGATCTAAAAACCTCTCAGTTCCAGTATTCCATGTGGTGTAGTGGTTAGAGGACTGGACTAGGATCCGGGAAATCCAGGACCAAATCCTTACTGTACCGTGAAGCTGACTGGGTGACCTTGGACCAGCCACTCACTCTCTCAACTTAACCTACCTCAAAGGATTGTAGTGAGGGTAAAATGGAGGAGAAGACGAGACCAACAAATACCACCCTGAGCTCCATGGAGAAGTGGCAATACAGCATGTACTAAATAAAGAAAATGACTTTGCAAGTGGTTGTTTATCATGGCTGGTGCAGCGCAGGAGAAACCAAACTACAATTCCCAGGAGGCAACAGAGTAATTGCAGGTGTGCAGCAAAATCAGCACACTATTATAATAAGCTGGGACAGAATACTTGGAAAAGAGATGAATTTCTTCACTTCTCAACAAAGTTAATAAGTTCCAAAACCAAAGTTGAAAGCAGTTTGCCTATCACCAAAACTGATCCAGAGAAAGGTAATCAAAAGTTATCGCTTATTCGTGTAATCAATTAATGTGTGGTAGCTCAATCCAGAATCATGTGCCCCTCCCTGCACAGTTTCTCAGATCTAAAAGAAATTAATAGTGGTAGAACCAAATTTTAAATGTGTGGGTATGCCACAATCACATGTAAAATAGGTACAATTTAAAACTCGAAAGTGTCCCATGAGCATGCTACTAACCCTTCCCCCCAACACACAGAGTACACTCCCAGCAGTTCCTCCCCCAGCTGCTTCTCTCTTAGCCAAGTTCACTTCTGGTACTGCAAACTGAGTGGAAGGAACTTATGGGGGGGGTGGAATGTGTGCATCACACAGGTACACTCCAGTGCCAACTGGCTGCTGCTTTCTGTCACCCCATACCTGTATCCCATGCTGCCATTTTACACTGCGGACTGCAAATAATACACAACAGCAATCCTGCCGCCAATCACACAGAAGAGTGTAATACTGTGATGTGGTTTACAGTGTAGACAAGACATCCCTTAGGGATGCATCAGCTGAGACCACTAAAATGATATTCTGTCATGAGCCCAAGCCAAAATACAATCTGCATTCAAGTAAAGCACATTAAGTTGCTGAACCACCAAATCCCTCGGTTCTATTCAGTTATGATAATCAACAACAACAAATCACCTTTTGTAAAGGGCTGTTAGGAGCGGCAGTGATTGTTGGACAACACCCAACACTTTTACAAGCCTGTGAAGCTTTTATAGCTGACAGCATACGTGCAGAAAGCAGGCAACTGGAATGTATTAAAAACCACTAAAGCCTTCATCAAAACAGCAGCAAAAAGCTAAGTAAATCACTTAGATCATCAGTTGCGGGTTCACTTAAAATGCATGCAGTGCATTTGCTGGGCCATTTGAACAGTGTGATATATTAAAGCTCCTAGTGGAAATAACCAAAGGTCTCCTTGTAGACACACAGGATGGAGCATTAGCTTTGGAAAAAAGAAAGGTCTTATGCAAGCAGAACCAATGCTTCTTCTATCACAGGCACAGCTGGGAGGTATTGGGAGTGCCTAAGAGAATGAGTTATGAATCAGGAAATGCTTGGTTTAAATTAGGCTTATGCTATGAATTGAGGGCCAAACTACACAATACGTTCTCTGATAAGTTGGGTTCAGGTTCTCTGCAGCCACATAGGAGCTGTTGAGAAATGTCATTTTGGCTTAAAACTGCAACAAGGGGGGAGGAGGGGCTCCTATCTTCCCCCCTCCATGCCCTTCTTCAAGCCAATTGAAGCACCTGCCAATTCTTAAATGACATTTCCAACAGCCGGTGTGTGGCTCAGGAAAAGAGAGTCAGGTCTGGGAAGCCCAAACCCAATTTGCCAAAAAAAACATACTGCATAGTTTGGCTCTGACAAGATGGTATCTGTATGCAAAAGTTCAGGCAAAGGAGTCAGGGAAAGGAGCAGGTATGTAGAATTTGTTATCCACAAAATTGTTAGTACTATTGGATAGTTAAGGGATGTGAATATAGGACAACTATCTACGAACTAAAACAAAACTTCAGCCTAACTATCCATCAGCCAATTCTCCATGGTAAAGTCTAAGCTAAATCACTGCATATGTGGAGTCTCCAAATATGGATGTTGCCATCCTTGATTTTTTTTTAATGTACATTCAGAAACCCAGTGGAGGAAGGCCATGGCTACTAGGCAAAGTCAGGAATTAAAAGTGTGTGCATGAGTGAGAAAGAATCATTGGCAGTCATAAGAACAAAGAAGTTCTATGGATCTAACTAAAGAATGAGACATCATGAAGAAAAAAGATCTTTGGGGAATAAACAAAGCAAAAAGAAATGCGACATGGAGGATAAGGCACACTTTTTAAGCTTCAGTACACTGTTAGGCAGAGGAAATTGGGCATGCTTGACCATGTTTCAGTACTTGAACTGGGTAGTTCTCTGTCATGTGGATAAGCAGAAGCCATAAGGCCACCGTTTAAATGACATGACAAGGCAATTCAAAACTACCCCAGGCTAGATGCTATCTGCTTCCATTGATAAAATACGTACATGTTCAGAGGTATGAACAATCTATCAATGACCACTTAATAATTTGTAATTTTAGTTCTAATTAATTGATTAGACAGCTGTAGTTTTTTGCTGTAAAACATGATCAGTATAAATCTTCTGAATATGTATGAAAACAAGAGAAACCAAGATGATACAAACTGTTCCTCTCTTCCCTCCAGAATAGCTCCTACCAATATTTATTTTATTCCATTTTACTGTTTTGTTTGTTTGGTACTGGATTGTTCATCAGAAATCAAAAGAATGAGAATCATAAATATAATCATATTAGCAAAATAAAGGTAACAGAGAGAACCCAAAGAATGTTTAAATTGGCAGAAGAATTTTTAACATTTCTATGAAAAGTTTCTATAGGACATAACACTTTTTTGTTCTTGTTATGTTAAGAAGAGAGAGGGATTAAATCCTTGAAGTCAAATTTAATAACCCAGGAAACCTGATCCAAATGCTACATAATAAATTAGTTAGAAGCCACTAGGAAAAAAGCCAACATCCCCATCTCCCTCAGTAATACATTTTAGTTTACCAAGGCAATGATAGCAAAATCAGCCACAATTATGTTAAATATTTATTGCTAAATCCATTAATATTTTCCCTAGATAACAGAGCACTAAGGTCCAGCCTTCAGAGGAAAGGGAAGCACAAAAAGAGAGCTTAGAGCTCCCTCTTCTTTTCCTTCAAAGAACAGCATCTTCAATTTGTGTATGTATTTTAATAATGAATTTTCATGGGGAAGAAACTACTTTAATAAGTAATATTAAAACATTGCTGGATTATGGAACATTTAATTGCTCTCAGTTGCAGAAATTAGTTTAATGCACAGAAAGACTCACAGTGCCATTTCAAACTGCTCAAGCCATTTTTTCTTCAAATCTTTCGTTTTGCAGTAGAGTTCCAGCCCATTCTGTCCTTGTATGTGGATGAGGTAGAAGCCATAAGACCACTGTTGAAATGAAAACACAATCCAAGTGGTGCTGCAGAACTAATTGAGGCCAAACACTGTTATTTTTATGTTTCCCATTAAATAATATAAGGCTGGATCCAGTAGAAGATTTCCACTACAGAATTTCTGCCCGTTCCCCTCTTCCAATGCAGACCTCCCACTCCTCTCCCCATTCTGCTTTTAGGGGAATCCCCTGTGCAGCAGAAGCAGCATTCGGAGCTCCAGTGAGAGGAAGAAGGTAACAAAACCCCAAAAATTACCACTGGACCACTGATAATGCTGAGAATTTACATTGTACTTTACTGTTCAAAAAGCTTCACATACATTTGAGAGCCATTCTGGATTGTGAGACTTCAGATACCTGATGGAGAAAGGTCAGACTTTCCCCCTGAAAGTCCTCTACATGAGATATATAAATCTTCCCTGATGTGATAATTTAACTGCATTTAGGATCAGGTTCTTTGCAAAAGTCCTCTTTCTTGTAGGAGTCAACTATTAATTACACCAAAATCTAATGAAGATTCCTGAATTTCAGTAGTACATCTTGTGGATGAAGGAACTATTATATACTTTAAGAACACGACTAGTCCTGCTGGATCAGGACAGTGGTCCATTTGTCCAGCATCCTATTTCACATGAAGTACGATCAGCAGCCCTCAAGGGCTAATGAGCAGGACATACAGGCAAAGGCCTTCCCTGGCGCTGCCTCCTACCACTGGTATTCAGAGCTTTACTGCCTCTGAATGTAGAGATTCCCTTCGGTCTCCATGGCTAGTAACACCCTTTTTTTACCTTTTTGTTCTCTTTATCAGTTGTGGGGTTGTTGGCTATTTTGTATTCTTGAAGATCAATTATATCCTTCATTTCGTAATTATCACCTCGCCGTTTGCATACAATTACAGCCAAATCAAATAAGAAGATATGCCTGTGAAAATACAAATATAACAAGATGTGGTCTATCAAGGCTAAGTGCTGCCTTCAAAAGCTTTGCATAAAGCAATTCAAAATTAGATTCCAAAGACATAATATTTAGGATGTTGAATCTGAAGTTTTATCTCAAAATATGAAACTTGGATTATTGATTGCAGGTTGAGTGCTTTAAATTGTTGGCCATATCTTTTGACTGTTTGTTTTTTGACAGCTGTCAAATGTCAAAAGCTGTCAATCGAATAGTTTTAAATATCAAATGTCACTGTGCATCAGTTGTCATATACTAAATATCAATTGCATGGCAACTGTCAAATATTAAATACCATTACGGTAAGCCAACTATCAATTATCTTCTGGAAAGCATACATAGTTAATAGAAAATATTTGATTGTAATAATAATATACATTAAAATTCACAGATGAGAATTGGGGGGCCCTTTTCACATATTTTGTGCCTTGTGATAAGATGTGCTCCCATTTCAGTATTCCTTCTGGGGACACATGAACAGAAATGAACAAATGGATGAAATATGTGCAATGTCACCCTTCCCTTCTCTTGTAAAGCATTTTGCCAGGAAATGGATTGCAATTTAACAGCAAAAGGAAGGGGGGGGTTTCCTGCCCCTCCAAGGGGAGCAATGCTCTTGGGGGGGGTCCTGCCCCTCCAAGGGGAGCAATGCTCTTTTTCATGCCCTCTGAAATGACACCTTTTGATGAAAAAAAAATCCTTCTAAAATTCAATGCACTGCTATCTCAACTCTACACTGAATATGGAAATGGTTATGTCGCAAGACATAAAAGCAAATGGTACAACATAAAGGAAGTTGAATGTTCTTAAGTCTCATCGACTTCACTGAAACCTAAGTCTATGGCTAGAACATGCAAGACCCCACTGCTTCCAACAGGAGAAAAATGCTCGTAACTTCACACTCATTCATAGCCAAAGTACCGCTTAGATTGTAGTGAATGGCAATGTGTGAGAATAAAGGCCTACTGGCAAGCCATGCAACATGAACAATTTTTAAAACTAATTTGATGGTGCATTTGATTATATGACCTAAACTGTTGAAAGGAGATTGGGTTTCTAAAAATGCAAACTGGACACTTACACTGCAAACCTATGCAGAGTAACTTTGCATCAGACTGTACTGTCAGTTGCCTATAGGAAACATAAGCATATCCCCTGATTTTGTGTGCATCTTGACTGAGCAAGATGTGAATCTGTCTCTACCTCCTATTGTAGTCTTAGAATGATCTGCAGTTATGGATTTCCCTACTGATGATTGGCTGGGGAACAATATTAAGGGTATCCTGCTGGCTACTGCCAAACCAATAATATACTTGCTATTTCTGGGACTGGATCCAGCAATATCTGATAGTGCAAAAGACACTCCTAATACTCCCAATTCTGGAATTTCACTGTTGATAAACTTCAGAATCAGTAATCATGTAAGAAAAGCATCAAGAAAAAGGAACACCCTAGCTGCAGTGTGGTACATCAGCCCTTTGTACTTTAAAGAACTATTATTTTCAGAGAGCAACAGACCTGGCCTCTGGAAGTAAAGCTGGCTCTTTTGGTTGATGGTAACTGAGAACATAGCTCACCACGAGATGCAGAGTGAGTACCAATGTTCTTCAATGTTCAGTTGGGGAGTGCTAACTGTGGGATTCTATTCTTTCCCTCCTCCAGAAGCAACCAGGGGAACAGAAACTACCTTGGCATCTTTTGCAGACTGACTGAAACTTGTGGCCAGAGGAATATAAGCAAATGAGGAAGAGGTTACTCTGGTCTCTGGGGCATATGCAGCAGTACCTGACAGAACACTCACCATTAGTTGCAGCAGTGCTACTCTCAGTTTCCTGTTTTTTGAAAATTAGAGATTTTGCACAGCACCCTACAGAGAGGGGCATGATTGATGCCGCCAAGACCCCCAGACCTCAAAAAAATTTTTTTGTTACAACTTGTTCCCCCTTTTCTGTACACATGTAGACCTGAGAGTGGGCCTAACACTGATAGAAAGAGCCTGAATCAAAGTGATATCGAAAGGTGGTGAGTCATGCCAAAGGAAGAAAGGAATGCAGGGCATCTCCTCTATCAATCGTGCAAAAACCCATCCTAAGAGAGAGTTGATCAAGGGCCATTTCCCTCAAGGACCCCAGAGCCTCCTCCCAGATAATTTGATCCTAACTAATGACTCAGATTTCCAGAACAATAGGCAACGAGTCAGTTCCAGCAATTTACTCAATATTTAAATGACTGGACAGGAAGAAATGTTTCTTTGTCTTTTTATAGGTTCATTCTCCCTTGTAGGCAGACAGCTGCTCCCTGGGAATCTGATACAAGGGTCAGTGAACTTCTTGCCTGCTGTAAGAACAATATTTGCCTCAGCTGTGCTCTGCTGGCATGTTTGTAAATAGGACAAGAAACATAAAGAGGCAGTGCTCTTTTATCTAGTGGAAACACCACCCTGTAGCGCTGGCCCAAGCAGTTCTCACCACTTGGAAATGTCAAAAGCCAAAAGTGATGTCCTAGAGCCAAAATATTTGCCCTTCTGAATCTGTTTATATATAACTGATGAAGCAATCATAGCTAGATATGAGTCCAGTAGCACCATTGGAGACCAACAAGATTTTGGGGTTACAAATTTTTGACAAAGGTCCCTTCATCAGATATGAAGGGAGCTTTGCCTCTCAATAGCTTACAGCCAAAAAATCTTGACTGGACTGGACATGAGAAAAGCAACCAGAGGAGCTGTTTAAAGGGCAAAGTCTCCCAAAATGTAAAACAAGTCTTGTTTGTCTTATCCAATACAAGGATATCTACCATACATCAAAGAATAAACTTGGGCTCTTCTCACCTATCTTGCCTTGCCCGTTTGTCCAGGGTCGTTATCCTTATTTCACCATCACCTTGTGGTCTTCCATACAGTAAAAGTGACTGGTTCTGAAAACATAAACATTGCACCAAACAACAGTTAGCAGGTAACATCCGATCCTTTAGGAGGCTCACAAAGCTCTGAAAAATTGTTCAGCTGCTAAACTGGCCTTCATGCTACAGGCAGATATAATATTAGAGCCCAACGCTCCAAGTCCATCTCAAAGGAGCCTATTCCAAGCTCAATTCCTAGAGCTATCACCCTATTTCTCTCCATCACTCCTTCTTCCTTGGGGAAAACTGACTGCATGTTCTGAAACCTGAGCTCTCCCCAGTGTGATATAGCAGACCTCATAACAGGAAGAGGTGGTGGGACTTAACAGTTCAATCCCAGCAGAGGCAACAGCTCCTGCAGACCACGGCTGGCTGATGATTAATTACCTCAGTAATAACTGAGGCCAAAGCAGGTGTGTTTGGGACTGCCTTGCTGGAACATCAGGAAAAGTGCCAGGCAGAGTCCAGTAGCTGCAGCTCTATCTCAGCAGAGGCAACAGCTCTTCCAATCACAGCTGGCTGGTTATTTGGAGGGGCTGGTATTGACTACAAGGGTGGACAGGTCCATTGCTTGGTTAGGACTACTGTGGGTTTGGTAGATTGTGGGGTTTGGGTGCACTATAAATCTGTTGCACAGCTGGTTAGATCCTCCTACAGGTGGAGAGGGAGACCAGAGTAAGCTGCGAGGTGTGCCTAGGTGGCCAGGGAGGGGGTTAGGCATGACAGTGGGCAAAGAGTTAGGTTCAGAAGGAGACTGAGATATGAATGTGCTCAGTCCTCCTCTAAGCTCCTTCCCCTCCCAAGAAATGATGGTGTGCAGACCCAGACTTCTTTGCCCTCCTCTTCAAGAGTTATGTTGTGCAATGTCAGATTGATTATGAATAAGACTGCCTCCCTTGAAGAATTTATTAGGAAAGGCAATTTTGATCTTGCATGCTTGATGGAGAGCTGGGTGGATGCGGATGACGTGGTGGCTCTCACTCAACTGACTCCCCCAGGATACTCAGTCCTTCAACTGCAAACAGAAAGGGGTGGTGGCAGTTCTGGTCCTAGATTCTTTCTCCTCTGAGCAACTTCCTGAACTGCAGAAGTCTGACACCGGCAGTGAATGTGTGAACCTGGCATGGGGTGCCAGGGAGAGGGTTGGAGTCTTGCTGATTTACCATCTGCCCAGCTTACTAGCTGACTCCCTGCTGAGGTTGGCTGAGGCGGTGACAGAGTGGCCCTTGTATTTCCCCAAGCTGATAGTTTTAGGGGACTTCAATGTTCACACTGACACTGCCTTGTCTGGTGCCTCCTTAGACTATATGACTGCCATGGCATCATTAGGACTCTCCCAGGTTGTACTGGCCTCTACATACAGAGCAGGCCACACGCTGGATCTGATCTTTTGTGCAGGGATTGTTCTGGATTCAGCGGCTCTTTGTAAACCACTACCATGGTCTGATCATTACCTTGTGAAGGCTGGTTTGAGATTTGCCTCCTCCCTCTGCAGGGGCTTATTTATGCTGGCCCATGGAGACTCATGGATCCAATCGGATTCCAGAATGCTCTGCGGGATCTGTCTGGCTCTCTTGGTAGCTCACTTGATGAACTCACTGATGCCTGGAATCTGGAGCTTCAGGAGGCCATTGACAGAGTTGCCCCCCAGTGCCCTCTTTGCCTCATACTACCTTGGCTCCAAGGTATACAGTTGAACTAAGGATGGTAGAAAGGGGGATTAAATGGCCAGGGTGGTGCTGGCAATGAATTCATGAAGCAATGAGATCACTTTATAGAGCCCACTTGAAAGCTTATGAAGTGGCAGTGAAGGCAGCCCTTTTCTTCCTCCACTGCATCTGCCACGTCACCTCAAGCTCAATTGTTTAGAGTTAATAGGCAACTGACCACCCCTTTGGTGGCCCCAAAAGTATATGAAAATTTGGCTGTTAGCTGTGACACATTCGCGACGTTCTTTTCAGATAAATCCTCGCTCCTTCACGAAGACTTGGGTGCCAGATTTGGAGGCAGTAGGAATCTTGGGGCCCTGTGTGTACAATCAGGTCCATTTTTGGACTCCCTCAACCCACTCTCCCAGGCAGATGTTGACAGGGTCCTATCAGCTGTGCAGCCTACTGCCTGCTCTTTGGATCCCTGCCCTTCCTGGTTGGTGAAAGCCTCCAGGGAAGTGGTAGGAGAAGCTTTGGGAGACATTATAAATCTCTCACTCTCCCAGGGCTCTTTCACTAGCTTCCTCAAGGAGGCAGTGGTGACACCCCTCCTGAAAAAGTCGTCATTAGATGAGAGGGACCTAGCCAATTACTGTCCAATATCTAATCTTCCATTTCTGGGACAGGTGATTGAGCAAGCAGTTGCTAAACAGCTCCAGGAGCTGGTTCTCCTTAATCCTCCAGAGTCAATCGCAGAGGGTAATTGTGGGTGGAAAGAGGTCATCCCCAGAGGCCCTAACTTTTGGAGTTCCACAGGGGTCGATTCTCTCCCCAATGTTATTTAACAGCTATATGCACCCTCTGGTGGAGATTGTTAGGAGGTTTGAAGTGGAGTGCCATAAATATGCAGAAGACACCCAGCTCTATCACTTAGTTAAGGAGTGACTGGTAGCTGAAATTCTGGCCTTGGCCTCCTGCCTGGATGCCACGGTGGAATGGTTAGGTGAGAGCTGACTGAAGCTAAATCCATTTAAGACAGAGATCATGTGGCTGGGGAAGCCTGGACTGCTGAGGTGGCCACTTCTACTGACCCTAGATAGGGTAGACTTTCTGCGGTCGACTCTGTGAGGAGTTTGGGGGTATGGCTTGATTCTTTGCTCTCCATGGACAAACATGTGTCCTCGGTGATAAAGACTGCATTTTACCCTCTATACTCGGCCCGCCAACTGGCTCCCTGTCTGTCTCAGGAGGAACTTGCCACAGTAATTTATGCAACAGTTATCTCAAGACTGGTCTACAGCAATGCACTCTACACAGGGCTAGCTTTGAAGATGCTTCAGAAACTGCAAGTGGTCCAGAACACAGCTGCCGGTTTGCTGACAGGAGGGTCCTGGTCTGCAAATGTAACACCTATCCTGTGGCGGTTGCACTGGCTCCCAATTAGTTTCCAGTGCCAATTCAAAGTGTTGGTACTTACCTTTAAAGCCCTAAACTGCCTGGGACCCTTATATGTCTGGGACCACCTCTCCCAGCATGATCCTCCCCATCTTCTCCAATCTTCATTTTGACATTTATTGAAGGTCTCTGGTCCAAGAACTGTCCACCTTGTGTCAACAAGGACAAGGACCCTCTCAGCAGTGGCACCCATCCTGTGGAACCAGCTGCCTGAAGAGGTACATGCCTTGCAGGGCCTCCCTAGGTTCCACAGGGCATGAAAGCCTGTTCTTTTTCAGGCAGGCAGCCTTCAGGTGATTGTGATCCACCAAGCAGCTGGTATGCTTCAACTATGACTTCACCATCCACACATCCTACCCTGCTTGATAATGGATAGATTTTAATGGGGATAGATTTTAATTGTTTTATATTTTTTAAGTTTATTCATTGGATTTTTGTATTGCTTTTATTGGGCGTATTTTATATATATGTGTGTGTGTGTGTGTGTGTGTGTGTATTGCTATTCTGATAGCTTGTTACAGCAGCAGGCTCAGACCATGCTTGAAGAATAGATTGCAAGTCCTGCTTCTCCATTACACTCTCTCCAGCCTCCATGAGTTTATGAAGACTGGTCCTTGAAGTATTGTGGTTCTGAAAAGGCCTAAAGTCTTTTAATCATAGAAGATACTTTTTTATCTATTTCTGCAGTATGGTCCCCTTTTTGCCTTGTGGCCAAACAAAAATGCTGCCATATAGAATGTGTTCTGGCCTTAACTGTGACCGCAAAGATTCCCCTTGGAGTTTTAGAGTAAGTGACAGAGCACTGTTATCCAGTGTCAGGATGAATCAGCCCTTAAGCAGGGAGGCTACCAGTGCCTCTTGTGTTAAGCTATTCAAACCAGCAATGGGGCAGAAGTAAGCAGTCCTCCCACATCTCACTGCAGTTCTCCTCACACTCGATCACATCTACTGGGTTCCATGTGGCCTGACAAGGCTACAAACATTTGTAATGAAATAAAAAATATCTTTCTCAATTCTCAGCATACCTTCCAAGCTTGTAGAGGTGCTTTGCCACGGTCAGCAATCTCTTACTACTGCTCTGTGGCGCAGATTATGGGAATTCCTTTAAACTGGGTGTTGAACCAGAGCCAGTAGCTTCGAAGCGTGAGAGGCAGGCTTTCTTCCTTATGCCCTGAGCAATTTTAGTGTGAATTAGGGCATGGACTACAAAAAGACTCCCTGATCACACACAGCAAAAAATCCTGACAAAATGTGCATCTTTAGCTTTCCTATGGTCCAGTGGTACACCCCAACTGTGGTCCATATTAAAATCTGTATTCAGCTCTCTATGGGCTTAGCTACCTAAAGGCCACTGTCCACAACAGGGGTTCTCAATGTTTCTGAGCCTGTGGACACCTTTAGAATTCTGGCGCAGGGTGGCAACTATATAATGGCTGCCAGAGGAGGGAGAGCAAACTGCAAAATGCCAGGGAGTAAGGGTATGCATAGCTTTCTTCAACATTTCAGGCAGAAGCTGTGTAACAAGATGCCTTTTGAATCACTGGGGATCCCCAGGGGTCTTTTGGGGCCGGAGCGCACTGGAGCACCGCTCCAGGAGCCCAGGAGCTGGCAAAAATGGAGGTGGCAGCAAGCCCCAGCTCTCGGCACTGTGGCCCATCGTCGGCTTCCCGGGGCCCATGCCGGAGCACTGCGGCCCCAGGGAGGCCCGTCATCACCTCCCCAGGGCCCGTGCCGGAGTGCTGCAGCCCCATGGAGGCGCCAGGAGGACCGTTGCTGCCTCCCAGGGGCCCGCACTGGAGCACTGCGGCCCCAGGGAGGTCAGATGAGGCTCTCGCCACCTCCCCGGGCCAGCGCCAAAGCGCTGTGGCCCCAGGGAGGGACCAGGAGGCCCATTGCTGCCTCTCCGGGGTCCGCGCTAGAGCGCTGCGGTCCTGGAGAGGTCAGAGGAGGCTCATCGCTGCTTCCCTGGGCCAGTGCCAGAGCACTGCGGTCCGGGGGAGGCCAGAGGATGCCCGTCGCTGGCTTCCTGGGGCCTGCACTGGAGCGCTGCAGCCCTGGGGAGGTCAGAGGAGGCTCGTTGCCGCTTCCCCAGGCCAGCGCCGGAGAACTGCGGCCCGGG